ACTCACCTAAGATTTTGCTTTTATAGTATTTATCTTTACACATGCACACACACACTTACCTACACATAATAAGTGTGTGTATGTGTATAGACACACAGGCACAGTTATTTTCTGAACCATTGGAAAATATGTTGCATATAGAGTGTCCCTTCCTCTTTAATGCTTTAGTGTACATTTTCTGAGAATATGGATATTCCCCCGTGTATGCACATTAGCTAGCAAATGCATGATGCTGTACTATGAACTAATCTATATTACTATGTCCATATTCTAGTAATGTCCTTAATAGCACTCCCCTCAGCCCTGTACCTCCTATATCAGGAAATTACAGTTGGTTGTAATGTTTTTAATCTGGAATAGTTCAACTAATTTTTTTCATACCACTGACATTTTAAAACTACATGGTCCTGTATTTTTTTTGGAAAAGTTCCCAAACTAATGTAAATGAGAGAATGTTATGAATTATTTTAAACTTAAATGGCATTGCTTATATATCGTTTTTGAAAGTAAACTTTTTATTAAAGTATAACAAGTGCACAAATTGCATGTTTTGCTTGGAGAATTTTCACAAAATACAACTGTGTAATTGGTACCCAGAATAAGAAACAACTCAGAAATCCCCTTCTCCATCATATTATTTTCTAGTCATTAAATCACTATTCCCATTTAGTAATTTTGCTTGCTTTTGAATTTAATGAAATCACGCAGTTATATATTTTTTATGGTCTGCCTTATTTTCATTTAACACGATGATCATGAAATTCATGTTTTGGCATGTAGTGGTAGTTTCACTGTAACACAAATGGATTATTTTAGATCCACTTTGATAATTTAGGCATATGTGGATAAGTTATGCAAGTGTATTTTGAGCTTTTCTGATTTGCTGGTGTAATTGCATGTTTGATTACTATATTCCATCAGTGTTTCAGTTCTTACTGAGTACAAGAAATTTTGAAGGATATTTTTAAAGTAGTTTGTGTCAGCTCATTTCATACTTACCTAAGAGTCTCTAGACAGTGCTCTTGTTCTGACATGTGAATCTTGTTTTTTTGGAGGGTCGGGGGGAGTTATTGATTACAAAGTAGTGATAATGTTTTTCATTTAAATCAGTTGTCATATTAGTGTAACTATATTTTTCTCCTTTTAGCCCTGGTTTCCTGAGGTTTGTGAGGGTTTTATGTGGCATGTCTTCAGATGAAAGGAAAGCATTCCTGCAGTTTACCACCGGTTGTTCCACTCTACCCCCAGGTGGACTGGCTAACCTGCATCCCAGACTCACGGTTGTACGCAAGGTACAAACTCTCGCTCATGGGGAATCCAATGAGTTAAGGATTGAAAGAAAGAAATATTTAAAGCTATGGTCTCTGTTATTTTCATTTTCTTTTCTATAGGTTGATGCTACTGATGCAAGCTATCCATCAGTGAACACATGTGTCCATTATCTAAAGTTGCCGGAATATTCTTCAGAGGAAATCATGAGAGAGCGCCTGCTAGCTGCTACAATGGAAAAGGGCTTTCATCTCAATTGAGCTTTAAAGTGCAATGGGAGACATCAGAAACTTTAAAAATACTAGTGAAGCCTCTTGTGTTTGTGTGAAGAGAAGTATACGATCCTCCACGCTAATGACACTTGCCTTTTTTCCCACCATTAAGGCTTTAAAGACATGTGGAATAAGTTCGTTAGCTGCTAATGACAACACAGATTCTTTACCTACCCAGCCAGCAAGTATATAGCACAGAACACTGTGTTGCTCAAGGGCTTATGTGACTGGAATAAGGTGGTCCTACTTGACTGTTCCAAAGAGCAGCTTCTGAGATCTTCAGTGTTCACTGGTAAACTTCTAACAGTGTGTTTGTGTAAAGTTTGTCATTTCATACTTCATACACTACAGTTGCCGTCATTGATCCCTGTTTTGCTGGCTTTTAAGCTACTTGGTCAAAAATCCTGCTTCCTTAAAACATAGAGAGTTAATGAGCATCTCAAGCTTTTTTTTTTCTTTCCTTTTTAATGATGCCTGCACTATCAGAGTATTCTAGTGTTCTCTCTTTGTTTGGCATATAATCATGCACAACCTTTTATTTCTTTGAGGTGGGAGTATATTTTTATTTCCTAAATGCCATACTCTAAAGATCAAATTCTTAAGTGTGTCTGTGCAGTTCAAAAATGATGATATATCAAGGGGAAAAGGAAAAAGAAAAAAAACACTGGTCTAGATGCAAGGCACACTTAAAGCAAGTTTTACTTTTGGTTGTATTTTCTTTGTACATTATAAACATTTATTTAAGTTGTTGGAGTTTGAAGTAAAAAATTTCCAAAATGTATGCTCAATAATAATCATTAAAATGTTTGCAGCATATAAAACTGTGTCATGTGACTATTTCATCTCAACCTCCAGACCTTACTCTTCGTTTTGAATCATTGAGATTTAGGTTTTTTTTTTTTTTTTAATTATTACATGAAGAAATCTGTTTTTCTATAGTGAATACACTTACTGAAACTGGAAAGCTAGAAATATATTCACATGTTGAATTGTGATCCAACTGTTATGTTCTGTCTTATTCTTCAGCTAAAGTCAATTTATTTGTGTTAACTTTTTAAATACCAGATCTACTACTTACCATTGTATCTGCAGGGATGTGTAAATCTAAGAAGAATGATTTTTGAATGTTGTATTACTGTCAAAAGAAACTACCATAATACTGCTATTTTCTGTTTGCCTTTTATGTTTTCGTTGACTTTTCTAGAGAGAGATGAAAGGAGAGAGAGAGAAACATCAATCGGCTGCCTCCTACACGCCCCTGTTGGGTATCAAGCCTACAACCTGGGCATGTGCCCTGACTGGGAATCGAACCAGACCTCTGACCATGGTACAACACTCAATCCACTGAGCCACACCGGCTGGGCTATTTTCTGGTTTTCCAAACTCCCCTGATTTATCATATCTGTGCATTTAGGTGAAAGAAATGTTGCTAGGCTTGATTTAGCCAAATGGCTTTTTAGGAGTGAAAAACATTTTTTGGAATTGCCCATTATTTACCTGTTTAAAAGGTATGTTCCTTTTCTACATTAGAAGGGCTGTCTCCCACTATAGTCAGTCATTTGAGTACTGTTTTTATTCTCTGCATGAGAATGTTGTAACTGTAATCAGAGGCAGCATTTAAATAATTGACCTTATTGTTAGCTTCACAGTTCTCTGTGAGAATAAAAGTTAAAATAAAACAATAGTGATATTTAAATGTATGACCTATGCTTTAATCCAAAAAATAGTGGTGGTGATCGTCTTAATAATGTGGATGTGTGACTAAAACTTTATACTGGTATTAGAATTAAAGTCAGTATATGTGTGTAGTATTGCCATTGTTTAAGTCTCTAAAACGTCAGTGGCCAGCCTTGCCCAAGACAAGTCTAGCACAGGAGTCGCAAACTGGCTTGCTACTTGTTTTGTATAGCTCGTGAGCTAAGCAAGCACGGTTTTAATTTTTTTAAGTGATTGAAAAACATCAAAAGGAATATTCCATGATGTGAAAATTTGATCAATTTAAAATGTCAGTGTCCATAAATAATGTTTTTTGGAACACAGCCATGCTTATTCAGTTATTTTGTCTATGGCTGCTTTCACACTACAATGGTACGGCAGAGACCACATGGCTCAGAAAGCCTAAACATTTACCGTCTGGCCTTTGATGGACAAGGTTGCTGAATCCTAGGCTAGCATATTGCTAAAGCAGGTAAAATAGATGTCTTATAAAATTAGTAACTGAAATGTCAGGAGTCTTCCTGCAGAAAGAAAAGTCTAAGAAAGGTAAAGCTAACTAATCTGAGGCATAAATTTCATGTGTGTGAAAATCACTTAAAGCTGGAAGTCACAGTTCAGCAGTTAATTTGACTGATGTGAGATGATACCGCCTGTAAGAACAGAGTAACATTACGGTTCACTTTCATGAGGCAAGTGTTATGAGACATCTACTGGGGTCTCCACATGTACTAGGTATTTGAGTATTTTTTCCTGTAGTATCTACCTAGTATATATTTTTTAATTGTTATTCTCTTAAGGTACTAAAATCTGTGCCAAGATGTCATTCAAGTGCTATTTTGGTGTGACCCAAAAATTAATTTTGTTCACTCCCAAGTTACTTCTGGTGTACCAGTTTCAGCAGTTACTTCAGTGTGCTACTGATTAAGTGCCTACCAACTAGGACAGTGTTTCCCAACTAATGTCTCTGAAAGACCTCAATAGCACTTTGGTCTAGGCTGGGCTTTCCCCAGTCCTTGGCTACTTAATGCAAAGTACCCCTCACCGGTCCGGAGGTCAGAAGTGTGTACTCTGCCTTCCTGAATGAGTCCAAAACAACTCAGGCTTGGTTTTGGAGTCTATTACTGATTTGGTACATGGTACTTTACAGATGTAAACTTCAAAATATATAAACAGATCAAGAATTTAAACAAAACCTTCCCCTCCACACATGAGAGGGGGGAAAAAATCAAACAGTACTGAGTGAATTATTAGGGCCTAGAATGTCCATTTATATTCTTTTGCAGGAGAGTTTTGTAGATGAAAGAGCTCTTGGAATTCCATTGGATGGCACAATATCTTAATGTGTCAAGACTATATTTCTTTTTCCTCCGTTGCACCTGCCTCCTACCTCTACATGCACATAAACATGTTTTATGTTTGTTTGTGGACAGTTCTGTATGTTCTGCTGTTGACTGAGCAGCAAAAGCATATAGAAAGGTTGGGGTCTGGGGATTAGGGCATTGCTCTTTTATCACACCGTAGCAGTTTTCTTTGCTTCAAGACATCCCAGAAGGGGTCGAAGGAATAAGCTTGGGAGTGGGGAGAAGGATTCATTTCATACCAACCTGAACAGAGGTACCCTTTTGATTTCTATTTTAAAATTTTGAACTGAAGTAAATTTCATTTACAGTTTACTAATAAGACAGACCCTTTATAATATGGCATAAAGGATAGTTATAAGGACTCTCTTTTTTCTCTCATAATTGAGATTTTATTGGTTCTTCTGAGGAAGAATACAGACATGTCAATTTGTACACAATTCTTAACATACGTACCAAAAATGTAAAGTCATGTAGTTGTGATTCTTTTCTAAACAGTTTTTCCATTGACTTTCCAGCTTAAAATTTGGAGGCTATACCTTTCCTTAATAAAGTATCAATTACCAATATCTTCGAATGTTAATATGCTGATACATCAAAGTCCCACCAATTCACAATTTAATATCATATACACTACATACCACATTTTCAGTCTTTCACAGCACATTAACAGAGTTACTAGGAAAACTGGACTACCACACCAAAGATGTTACAGAGTGCACAACATTCTGACAGGGAGAGCCAAGATCAAGGAGTGTTTTTCTTTAGGAAAAAATTCTACCAAAAATATGGAAATAGAAGTAATTTAAAAAGAATGTGCGACTAACTCCAAACTGCCACTTAGTATGCTTTGTATTGTAGGACGTAAAACTACCCCATCTATGGAATGTTAAGCTGACACCAAGACAATCAAAGTCTCTTCTATTCAGTATTCCACTATTTTCTGATTGTACCAGAAAATAAACCAGCAATTGATTTCACCTCTTTAAAAATAAGCATTTACACTAAAAAAAATGTAATGAGGTGGAATCCCCTCCTTAAAAATGTTTCTAAGAGCTACTAAAAAACTTGCATTTACAAAATAGCTGGTAAAAATATTCCTCTGGATTGTACAAGAAGGGAGACAGGAACCACTGATAAGACATGGTACATGATATTATTCACACTTGGCTTCTTTTTCTCCTGCTTCATCCAAGGCTGGATCCTCATTTTTGGTTTCTCCGTTTTCTGCAGGGAGGTAGATCTTTGGTTCCTGGTTACCACTTTAGCCTGTTTCCCCTTTGCTCGCTCCCCTTTTCCTTTTCGTGTGTACTTTTTGTCTGTAGATGCATCCTTTCTTGCCGCCTTTTTTTGGCTTTGTTTCCTCTTTTGCAACAGCAGGTTTAGCTGACAACCTCTCTGGTCAATCTCTTGAGCTCTTCCTCTTGGACAGCGGGGAGCAGTGCTGGGTGCCCGAAGGCTGGGGTGCGCCGGGAGGTAAGGGGTCTCTTTTAATGTTTAACTATGTATTTGGTAGTAACATACTCTACAGTTAATTACATGATGGCACTGTAATTGCCAAGCACCCCTAAAATGGATCTCAGGCTTTTAGAAACTGGCAAATAAAACTTAATTCTGTTTCATTAGATACATAATATAGCAAAATTTTCACTTTTTAAGACTTTTTAAAATTTTTCACTTTTCAATGAACTTTTAGGTGTACAGCATAGTAGACAATCATATTCATAAGACAAAGTGCTAGTGTGTTTAAATCAGTTTAAAATTTGTATTGGCTGATAAAGAGCTACCACAGTTTCTTCCTACCTCATGCTGCTAGTCCTGAATTTAATTTGCAAAGGGAAGCAGAGAGAGACCAAAATTTTTTTAAACAACAAAATTTAAACAAGTGGAGAAAATTCTTATGGTTAGAAAATAAGACATCTCTTTCTCAGAGAAAACTTTTCTTTGTACATCATACTTTAAAATACAGTTTTGTTTTCCATTTAGGAACTGTGGAAAACACCTACTGAAAATGTCTTTGGAAGAATACCCCAATCTGCAATGTTTGCTCTTCCAGATTCTTTTGGGCTACAGATGCTGAGAGGTATTCCATGTTCTAATTTCCTGTGTCAGTGATGTTGGCGGAGAATTCCATTATTCAGCTTTCTGACATCTTATCAAGAATTAGTAGAGGGGCAAGAATTCTTGCCCGATTCGTTTCTACAATGGAGCCATTTAACACCATCTCATCCAAAATGATGTGTACTTTATCCAAATTAAACATGATCTAGGGTCATATTAAGGAAATCAGTTTTAGAGTTATAAAAATGTTAACATTAAGTAAGTAATAACTTAAGACTCAGCCTGGAATTTTTCCAGTGTTAATTAGTCTCAGCATGAAAGTATTTTTTTTAACAATTCTTGAAATAAAATTTTAAACTGGTGTCCACATTAGAAATTATTACCTTCATGTACACACACACACACACACACACACACACACACACACCTAGTTTCACTGGTTAAGCTAACCAGACAATAGGCACAGAAGTGGAAGAGCTACACCTTTTAGCCACAGGGAGAAGGAATCCACTCAGAGTTGAAGAATTTAGCAAGTAACATTTGGCAAGAGCATGGCATGACTTGGCCTCAAGAACAATGTCTTCCCAGACAATAGCAACTGTAATTGCCACAATTTACTGAATATACATTATGTTCCATGTATTGTGTTGAGTATTTTACATGTTATTTCAGACTTCTCTACAGCTCTATGATTTACGTTACATATCCTCATTAAAAAAAATTTTTTTCCCCTTTATTGATTTGAGAGAGAGAGGAAGTGAGAGGGAGAGAGAGAGGAAACACTGATGAGTGAGAACATCAATTGGCCCCCTCCTGCATGTCCCTGGGCACTGGGGATCGGGCTCACAACTTGGGCATGTGTTCTGACTGGGAATCGAAGTGGTGACCTCTTGGTGTATGGGTCGCCACTCAACCACTGAGCACACCGGCCAGACTATTATCCTCATTTTATACAGAGGTAAACAGGCTCGAAGCCACTGTCCCAAGGCCACATAGCTAGTAATTGCCATAGTTGGACCTTCAGCCCAGAGTGTGGCCTTGTCTGTTCTGCTTCCAGATTTCTCCTGAGGGGCTTGAGGCCACAGCCTGTTCGTTCTCCAACCTCCACCCAGTAACAAATGCCCTTACAACCCTGCACCTTAAGCTATTTTCTTTGTCAGAGGGCTGAAGAAAAAACAACCTTCAAGGACAAACGAATGACAAAGGCGAGGCAATACTTACTCAAAACGCAAGTAGGTAAAAATTCTGAATTTCAAGATAGTACCTCTTATAAATGGACAGTTCTAAAAATATTTAAGAATTATGGAGCCCCTGTAGTTTACTGATGCTCTTACTAGAAAGTTAGTATAGGCCTGGGGGAAGAGAACATATGACTATGATGCCCACCTAATTAGAAAGAGCCAGATTCTTCCCCCAGGAGCCCTTCATTTGAGTGCCTAGCTTTCCTTTTGTGAAACTGAAATGAGGTGATGACAGTGGGTGAATGTTTATGAATTCTAAGTTTCCGCCTTGATTTAGAGAGCATTACCCTGGTCTGTTAAACAAACAGCTGACAAATTGTTTAAATAGACAAACTTCATTCAACAAATGAGTGATTAAATGCACCTGGGGAATTCATAATGAAATAGTGAATCTTTGTGGAAAGCAAATCATTATCACCTGATATTTTTTTCAGTAATTCCAGATGTTCAAGTCTATATTGTATATGTTTAGTGAAGTACATCTATAGAGAATGAGACAACCCTGCGAATGACTTTTAAGTTTTGATTAGGCCCTGCGGTAACATCTCATTAAGCTCTGTGCAAATAGTCCTCCAGCACAATAAACTGTTTTTCAGGAGCCCATGGGAACTGTCCTTAAGTGACCCAGAAAAAAAAAGCTTTACTCTGATATACCTATTAATAATATCTTCCAATTATATAGATGATTGCTTTGTCCATGGCCAAACTGGGACTGAAATATTAGGCCCTTGACTCAGTCCTGTTCACCAGACCCAGAAGCCAGAACTTAGAAGACTCCAAGACAAAGCTGGCATGACAGCCGGTACAAAGAAAGGCAGAGTTGGGGAGCACAGGTGGCTGCATGTAGAATGGCCTGTAGAATCCCCCGGTTGTATTCATGAAGGGCATTGAAAACGTTAGTGCCTCTGAGAATGTCAACTCATCCAAGATAATTTTCTTTGAGACAGAAGATCTAATTTTAACCTATTTGAATTGGTTCAGATATCAAGCTGCTCTGAAGGCTTCCATCTTTGGCAAGTAGATGATCAGCAATTCAGATGTCCCCTTGAGCAACTGGCCAATTGTTTTGAAATTCAAATTAGAACTTGCTGCTGAATCATGTCAACCGCTGACATCTTCACATTGCAAGGACAAGGTTCTTCAGCTAGCCTGAGTTTCCCAACATCCTGGAAACATGAGTTGCTCAGTGAGGTCATTTAGTCCTGTGGGCATGTGACTGCCTGCCTATCTGAGTATCTGGCTCAAACCTCTAATAATCATGCAGCTTTCTGGCACTACATAGGGAAACCACAGACCAAATCCAAAGTGAGCAAAAGCCTGAAAGCTGATTTCCCCTAGTATCATGTGACTCCTTTAAAATAAGAATCCAACTGTTGGTCACATCTTGATTTGGTTTATGAGCAACTTGTACACACCAGTGAAGCCAAGAGTAATGGCATTTGGGCTATATGCCAGGTGAGCAGGGACCAAAAAAATACCCTATATGCCAAGCCCCTTGGTAATAAATAGGCACACAACAATTCAACCCTGACATTAGGAATAGTACAAAGCAAGGAAGGCTTTGGCCAGTTGTCAATTAATGTGGTGAGCTGAGAATGACTGTTTCAAAAAGGTCTTACCTTCAGGCTATACTTGACCGACTTAAAGGTCCTTAAGGCAACTTGTTTCCTTTCATAGGCACCCTCAGGTTGGAGCTGGTATGAACTGGAAACAGCCTCCCAAAGAGGAGATTCATCGAGCCCCATTTTCTCATAAACCTGAAACCTAGAAGCCTTTCTGAATTTCTATGTAACATAGATTGGAGTTGAACATCTTGAGACCCCATTAATGTCATTTTTAATTAAAGTAAATGAACCAGTTGTGGTTTCTACATTGGAATTTTGATCTTTGGATCATGAAACGTTTTTCAACATGGTATTTTTACACCACTGTGGTGGCCTAATATTCTTATTGATTTTAGAGAGAGAGGAAGGGAGAGGGAGAGATAGAAACATCGATGAGAGAGAACATCGACTGGCTGTCTCCTGCACACCCCATACTGGGGATCAAGCCCACAACCTGAGCATGTGCCCTGACCGAGGATCAAACCAGTGACCTCTTGGTGCATGGGTCAGCGTTCAACCACTGAGCCACACCGGCCAGGCCTAATAGTCCTTTAATAAGAGAAAATGAGCAGCATACATTCAAATGGGACTTCAGAAGCAATTCCAGGGCAGAGTCCCGTCTAGAAACTGAAATTTGTAACTAGATTTTGGTCTCAATCCTTTGTCTTCTTTCTTTCTTTTTTAAGATCCTACCTAACCAAAGTTCTTTAATACATGAAGGTAGGAAAAAACTTGCTCTCATTATTTATACTGTAACTCAATTTCCCATGAAATGAGGTAAGATGCGAAAGGCCAGTGTGTTCGCATTCCACAGAAGATTTTGCCTATCCTGGATTCACTCCTTGTAAGAGTCTTCTGTTGACTTCTAGGCTTGGTATTCTCTCTCATTAATTAGGCCACTGAACAGGAATGTATCTTTTTTTAAGGAAAGTAGGTTTTCCTTAAAGACCCATTCCTACTCCAAGAGCAACAAAACATCTAGGTATAATTATTTTTTTGTTAATCCTCACTTGAGGACATTTTTCCTTTTTTTAAAAAAACAGAGTGGAAGGGGGTGGGGGCAGAGAAACAAACATCAACGTGAGAGAGACACATTGATTGGTTGCCTCCTGCACGACTTGACCAGGGATCGAACCTGCAACCCAGGTATGTGCCCTTGACCGGGAATCAAACTTAGGACCCTTTGGTCTGTGGGCTGTTGCCTAACCAGAGCCAAGTTGGCCAGGAGCACAGGTGTAATTTTTTTAAAGTTTATGTAGGCTTATACAAAGTTACTCAAATAGAAAAGTCAGCACTGGGTCAAATTAAGTCTGTCATTTCTCTTGTACTTTTCCTAACTGTTGCTTCTCATAACTTGCTGTCACTATTCCTGAGTAAAACAACCCGGAAGCATGGACAGGAGTGGGGTAAGGCAGAGGGAGCTGGGGAGGAAGGAACACCAGAGGATGGACATGGCACCTACAGCGCTCAGAACACATGAAAAGGAAACAGATGGTGAAGGCCAGTGAGAGCCGAACAAGCCTGGAAGGCAGCAGGGTTGAAGTGGAGCATTCACATCCCCTTCCCAGCTGAATGGCGGGCTCTTGGGGACGGCTCATAACGCTGAGACTCATCACTCACGACAGCACTGCTGCACAGGGTCCTGGCCTCAGCTCAGCGCCTGCCCTTCCTAACACTGCACAGGCGGCACACGTCCCTCCAGCCCAGGGGCCAGCTCTCGCCCCTCCCGGTCCTGCTTTCAATTCACCTATTTTCAAAAGGAGACGAGATATTTAGCAATCTCTGAATGTGAACCCTACGTTTGGAGAGTGTGCTTTTATAAAGACATTCAGATATTCTCAAGACTTTTTTTTTCATTTCTGACTCCTCCAACCATAGACTAGTGTTTCTCCAAAACTCCTTCCTTAATTCAGAAAAAAGCTTTGACAACACCAAGACAGCATGGTGACAGGCACTCCTTGTTAGCCACTAAATTGCCACAATCTACTCTAGATGATTTTTTTTTAAAAATCCTCACCAGAGGACATTTTTGTGTTTATCTTCAGACAGAGCGGGAGGGAGAGAGGGAGGAAAAGAGAGAGAGAAAAACATCGACACGAGAGAGACACATTGAGTTGTTGCCACCCACAGGACCCCAACTGGGGCTGGGGACAAAATGCAACCAAGATATATGCCCTTACGAAAAACCGAACCCGGGACTCTCTGGTCCACGGGCCGATGCTCTCATTGCTGAGCCAAACCAGCCAGGGCTCTAGATGATTTTTAAATTATTACTTTTAAAATGTTTTTATTGATTTCAGAGAGGGACAGGGAGAGATAGAAAACATCAATTGGCTGCCTCCTGCTCGCCCCCTACTGGGGATTGAGCCCACAACCCAGATGTGTGTCCTGACTGGGAATCGAACCAGTGACTACGCTCGCTCAATCCACTGAGCCACACCAGCCAGGTAATGATTATGAAATTGCAAATAAATCTTATTTCTAATTTAAAGTCCTGGAAACCCAGAATACCAGCTCTTCCCCAAAGTAGCTCTGTGTCTTGGGACACATGTCATGAAACCTCTGCCTCTTCATCTTAAAAGTGAGGTCTTAACCTGATGATTCTGAAGTTTTCTTCCAACTCCAAAGTACTCAAATCCTCTGACTAAAACCAACCTTCAGGGGGAGGGGAGGCAATTGACTCTTTTCTGATATTATCAAGCCATTCTGGATGTAGGCTCCTTCATACTTCAAAAGAAATCCTGTTGTAATGACTTAATTATTGTAACTTTCTGAGAAAACTTCAATTCATTTAGAAGCTGCTATGTCCGTGTAGAAAGGATTCTCTGAAGGAATTTTGTTCTTGCCAGTATTTCCATAACCTAGCCTTGTGATTTCTTATTACGTTAGGCTAACATTCTCTCTCACTTGGAGAAAACCTATTCTGGTTTCTGGACCTCTAAAGGTGTTTGGAATTTTAGGATGGTAATGAAGGAATGAGATGCCCCACTGTGGGCAGTGGTCAGGACCTGACTGCAAATCTTGCTGATGCCGTTACTAGTGCATTCATTCCAGGGAGCACCATCATCAAGAACTACTTGAGTCACAGCCAGTGCAAGCTGGATGGACTCTTCCTACTTCCCTACCCTTAACTTCGGTGAAGAGAGCATGAATCGGGGTGCTTTCACATTACCCACGTAAGCTTTAAGGTCCTAGACTTAATTGCTCAGGCTTTGGGTTTTAAGACTTGTAAAATAAAAACATGAATGTTCTAAAGATTTTTCTTTAGATTTTTTTTTTTTTTTATCCTCACCCTAGGACACTTTTATTTTGCATATATCTTCAGATACAGTGGGAGAGAGAGAGATAGAAACATCCGATATGAGAGAGACACATCGACTGTCCGCCACCCACACGACCCCAACCGGGGCCGGGGACAAACTGCAACCAAGGTACGTGCCCTTAGCGGGAACCGAACCCGGGTCTCTCTGGACCGCAGGCTGTCGCTCTAACCGCTGAGCCAAACCGGCCAGGGCTCTTTAGATGTTTTTGAATTAAAACATTCTGGATGCTAGGCATACCCTTTATTTGTGGGGAGGCACAAAAATATAAGTAGGGACCCCAGCCTGTCCCCACTTTTCTCCCCGTGTGTGTGTGGGGGAGGCCTGCATGGGCCCTAGCAGCAGGTTCTGGGATGTCTGGGCACCCAGTAAATGTTGGGGCCCAGGCAGCTGGAGGATGGTCAGGAAACGGATGGGGGCCCTGAAGGCTCTCAGTAGGCACCCTCACCCCACGGAGAGAGATGTGGCTGAAGGAGAGCTAGAGTGGGGGCCCTAGTTGTCCAGGTCCAAAGGCAGCCTTCTAGCCAAAATAAAGTCTTTAAGCCTCTTTAAAGGTACCAAATGCCAAAAAGGCTGTTAAGGTTTTCAGTACCTTCACACATACAGTGGTGTGCATGAACTGAGGAGCTGGGCATCTCCCACACAGCACCTTGTGTTGGTGCCACCGCCTGACTATTGAGCAGAAGGGGGTAGAGAGAGCTCCTTTGAATTATACATTGTCTGGAGAATTCACAAATCTGGGGCTCCAGAGCAGAGCACATTTTGGGAAGCTCATCAGTTGGTTCCTAAAAACCATCTTTTTTATAAAAAATTTCTTCTATTGATCTAAAGACCATCTTAACTCAAGGAATTTGAAGTCTTAAATTTAAGTCTACCAAAGTATGTAGAGAGGCACACTCTCCTTATAGAAGCAGGGCCCCATGACTCCTCAGAGCGTACAGGAGTTTATTCACGGCTCGTGAATGATACAGATCACTGATGTGCTCAGTCCCAGGGGGTAGTCTGCCCCACCAGGCACGACTGCCAGTTTCCATTCAGTAGAAGGAATTCTGATTCAAAAATCAGAATTTCTGTCCTGATTTTTGTGCTTAGGTTGTTTTTTTTTTTTATTCCACCTGTCTTGTCCTGTGAAGTAGAACAAGCCCCTTACTGAGGAGAAATGTAAATGGTGCATTTTCTTTCTCAAATTCTAACAATGCAGACTCTGGAAAACTGCCCCATTTGTAAAAGGCTTCAAGGTGCTGAAGCTCCTGGAGAAAAAGACTGCAAGTAGAGAACTTTCTGGGAATTCCTCAGGGCTGATTTCCTCCTCCTGTTGCCGCACCAGCACCGAGCCTAAGCCGTGTCTTCGCGTGGCCGACAGGGCAGCCTCCCTTTCGCCTGAGTGTACACAGGGATGATGTGCTCTGAGTGCTGGAAGGACCAGCTCCAGTTTGTAATGACATCAGTTGTCTGTCTCAACCCTTCAGGGCCTAAGGACGTTCTCCTGGCACAACACCAACAATTTAACTGGCCAAGCAGGTTCCTGGTTACAGGTGTCAAGGGGTGATGTCAAGGGTGATGCAGAATGTCTGTGGCCCTAGAGAGAGCAGGAAACACACACCTCTGAAAGGCTCCCTGGTCTTCCTGTTATGAAACTGATGTGTAGAGAGGACTCCCTAGTTAAGAGGAACTATGTATGAGGCAGAGCAGAGCCATGGGTTTTTAATTTGATTTTCCCCCCAGATGGCTGAGGGTGAAAACCCTTAAGAATATCAATAGAAAAGAGGTGCCCCAGACCCTGCCTACCCAGCCTGCATCTGCTCTACTTTTAGGCCACTGGAGATCCCTGTGAAATTAAACCTAAAGACATATACTTCCAGGAGTAGAGAGATCTGGTTTCCTTCTCTAAAAGATGGAAAATTCCTAATCTGTCAGATAGATATGCCTAAATAATTCCTTAGGACAGAAAATAAATTGGTCAGAGAGGAAGAGAAGGCAAAAATGAAACTAAGTAAAATGAGAGGGAAGACACAAATTGTGTGCCTTGGTGTGGAAACTAAATTCAAACAAGACTGCTGGAGCTCATTACCTATACACCAGAAGGACACAAAGACAAGCCCACCCCTACTTCTACTAAACATCTAGTCAATATATCAGACACATCAACACAACTAGTCCACTGTGCTACATATCCTGTTACACCTGATTCACTTTGATTCTCAGAACATCTAAACTTGTAAGACACTCCACTCCAGGTGTAAGGTAGCTCAGCTCAGTTACCTAGACTCATGGCAACATCAACTATTAAGGCTGAGAGGGTTTTAAAGCTCCTCTAGTCTAATTCTATCATTTTGAGATGAGGGGTTATGTGTCTTGTCCAATACACACAGCTAGTTGGTGTGGGTAGAACCAATACTGGAACTTGGGTTTATATTCCCAGACAAGTGTCTATCAGCTTTCGCTACCTTCTTGATGACTCTTTAAGTCAAAAGACATTTTCTTTTCTTTTTTTATAATCCTCACATGAGGGTATTTTTTCTATTGAATTTTAGAGAGAGTAGAAGGAAGGGAAGGGGAGAACGAGAAATAAGGATGTGAGAGAGACACATCAATTGGCTGCCTCTCACACGTGCCCCAACCAGGGTTGGGAACTGAACTCTTGACCCTCGGGTATGATGGCTGACGCTCTATCCACTGAGCAACACCGGCCAGGGCTCAGAAGGCATTTTCTTATTCCTATGTACAAGGAGGAAGATATTTACTTTGAATTGCTTTAAAGGGCTTAGTTAAAATGGAATGTTACATGCTGATACACAACCTGGTCTTGGGTCTTCTAGGTCAAAGGGGTCACAGGTTTAGGACACTCTGTATTAGAGGGCACTCAGAATTTCCCAGTGAATTCAAAGAGGCTTCCAAATACAGCCTGCAAATGAAGTTTTCGACATGAGGACATTTTCTATTAGCAGTAAAAGGTAAATGGCCATTTCTCCAGAATATCCTGACTCTGGGCATAGGTGTCTAAATGTATGTATATCTACACAGAAATAAACATGTTATAATTAATATGCATTTGTTATAATTAATGTCACTATTTTAGATTCAAGACTGATGCGTTGTCCTCAAAGGACTCTCATGTACTGCTTTCAAGTGGTAAGCAAATGTTTGAAGTAAAAATTAACTAAAAGTCGACTTCCCTCCAGAGCACTCACACAAGCCGTGGGCTCCTGCCAAAACCTGGGGGCCTGCCGCCCGCTCGGCGAACCTGGGGGCCTGCCGCACGCTTGTTGTTAGGGCTCTTGGACACTTTGATTTAAAAGGGAGAACAGAAGAAAAGGAGAGCATTCTCTGCTATAAAAGGAAATGAATATAAGCCAGGCAATTTCTTTAACCCTCTAGTTGATCTTCCCTGAAGGCCTGATTCTGCTTATGTGGTGAATTTCTGGAGATTTATACCCAGAGCCATGAAAATCCATTCTCTCTCTGAGGACCAAGCACTTTCTGCCTGTGCTATTTAAATTCTAAAAAGGTCTATCCCGTATACTTAAAAGAAGTTAAATTAATATATAACAGCTATTATTAACTACTACCATAGAATTGCCCTAACTGAAACATACAAAATTCTTAATAAGAACTGTCTTTGTGAAAATGCTGGGTGTTTCTGCAAAGCACCGGTACCTCCGGCCGCAGCGTTGGAGTTGCTAATGATGGGCATTCTGGATTCCAGATTCTGCTGCATTGTTTTCCTGCCCTGTGGCACTTACCTGATAAATACCAACCTGTGCTTTGCCAAGTACTGTAGAGAAACTTGGCTCACAGCATGGAAAAAGGATACATCTAATTCACTCTGGAAGAGAAGAGAGTGCAAGGATGAGAATGAGACCCCGGGACACAACGCACTTAGCAGAGTTAGTGGCTACTCTGGCCACACACCTGGAAGCAGGTGGGAGAGGCTGCTCTGTGCGCAGAAGTGTGACAGTGGGAAGGCCCTGAGTTTGGGATTGTGATTTTAAAAAATAAGCTGCAGTTTAAAGGAATTTTATAGGCCAGAATAATTATTTTTAGATTGTAGAAGGATTGAAGGAGGGACATCTGTAATACTTTCAACAATAAAGGTGAAAAATAAAAATAAAAACACACACAAGAAAATGAACGTAGCCCTGGCTGGTTTAGCTCAGTGGTTAGAGTGTTGGCCCTTGGAGCAGAGTCGCGGCCAAGGGCACCGGCACGTACCTCGGTTGCAGTTCATCCCCAGCCCTGGTTGGGGTTGTGCAGGAGGCAACCAATTGATGTGTCTCTCTCACATTGATATCTCTCTCTCTCTCTCTCTCTCTCTCTTTCTCTCTCTCTCCCACTCTCCCCTTGCTTCCCCCTTCTCCCCCTCTCTCTTCCCACCCCATCTCACACTATCTCAAGATATTTGGAAAAATATCCTCGGGTAGGATTAAAAAAAAATGTCAAGGGAACAATCTAATTCAATCTTTACAGATGATAATTTTTTATAGGTTTATAAAAAACCTTAATAATGCATATACCCTTTGAATCTATCAAATTTTCTCCTAGATGTTTATTTTATGGGAATAATTAGATAATGGCACCATAATGTATGATAGGATATTCAGAGTAATGTTTATTTTTTTAAAATTTTTCTTTTCTGTATTGATTTTTAAAGAGAGAGGAGAGGACAGGGAGAGAGAGATATAAACATTGATGAGAGAGAACATCTACCTCCTGTATGCCCCGCACTGGGGACCGGGCCCACAACCTGGGCATGTGCCCTGACTGGGAACCAAACCAGCGACCTCCTGGTGCATGGGTTGATGCTCAACCACTGAGCCACACCGGCTGGGCAAGGGTAATGTTTATAGCAGCAAATTATTGAAAATGAGGGGACTAGTTAAAATTATATCAGATACACAAATAATGATGTAGATATATATACTAACATACTGTTGAATAGAAAAGCGAGTTATAAAATGGTATATACAGTATTATCCCGTATGCATATGTATACAGAGATATAGATAAAGCCTGAATGCAAATGAACCTAATAGTATGCATCAGTAAGTGATGGGCTTACTGGTGATCTTCTCCCCTTTCCTTTTGCTTTTATGTATTTTTAATTTTTTTCAATGAACATATAGATATTCATAGAAGGAGAAAAAAAAAGTTAAATTCACCCTGGCTGGTTTGCTCAGTGGTTAGAGTGTTGGCCCGTGAACCAGAGTTGCAGGTTCAATTCCAGTCAAGGGCACGCCACACCTCCGTTGCACTTCGTCCCTCACCCTGATCAGGGTCGTGTGGGAGGCAACCAATCAATGTGTCTCTCTTGCACTGATATTTCTCTCTCCCCCACTCTCATCTGAAGATAAATGGAAAAATGTCCTCAGATAAAGATTTTAAAAAGCAAACAACAACAAAAACCAGTTAAATTCATATTTGAAGGCACTTAAGGAGTGTCGAACGCAGCACCGACGACCCTGATCCCACTTCCTCAACAGCAGTAGGCCTCTGCTCTTGCCAGACTGCCTCCTTTAGAGCTAGCTGGGTTGGCTTCCTGTTTTGAAATGTGATGCTGAGATGCTTCTTTGAGCCCAGACAGCAGCATGAGATTGCTCTCCAAATTTAAGATTTAGAAACTCTAAAATTTAAAAATAGTCCCAGAAAGAATGTCTAAAACTCAGAAACCTAAAATTAAATTTTAGATGACAAGACACTCTCCATGTGTGGGACAGTTTCTATTTTCTTTCCCATAGTACTCTTTCTTTTCCCTCCTCTTTCTCTTCTTTTTGCTACTACTGTCATTCTAAACGGGGTCCTCCAAGTCCTATATAATCACCAGGTTTAAATTCTAATCTTTACTTCTCTGGTTTATGTGGTCACTGACTCTCCCTAGAATTATAGTCAAATTCAGCAACATGCTATTTATGCTCAGTTACTGAATATAATAATTGTGATTTAAAAAAACCTTAGCAATGATAGTGCTTGCACCCACTCTTTAGTCTCCCAGGTTTAAAACATTGCCAGTTTGGGAAATCATATTCTATTTAATAGGTGTTCCCTTAAAGTGGCTAATCACGGCCAGCCAGCTCTGAACCACAGACCCCGATTTGCAACCAGTCTGTCTGAACAGAGTGGTCACCTGGAGACAAGCAGGAGTTAGAGTTATGCTTACCAATATGGTAACCACCAGCCTCATGTGGTGATTTAAATTAATTAAAATTAAAATTCCTCATTTACACTAATCACATTTTAAGTGTCCAAGAGCAACATGTGGCTGGTGCCAACTGTATCGGATGGCACAGATACAAACATTTCTATGGCTGCTGGTCCATGGTGCTCTCTCCAATCAATCAATACAAAGATGAATTTTAAAGCCAGCCTCAGTGCTCTCTGGCTCCTCAAAGCCAGCCTCTGGACTGGCCCAACCTCCTGCCCTCTTCCAGTTTTGGGGGGCACCAAGTCCTTCCTAGTTAGATGCACTACCAAGTCGCAGTCCACCAGGCAGCTTCCCAGCTCTAGCGTCTGAATCAGGAAACCGCTGACAGCAAGCCTCATGTATGAAGCATGCACCAGAATCACCTGGAAAGCTTGGTAAACACATTTCTGGGCCTCAACCCAGAATTTCTACCTCAATAGACTGGGGTGGGTCCAGAATGATTATTTCTTACAAGTTCCCAGGTGATGCTTATGCTGCTTGTCCAGAAACCACACACTGGGAACCTCTGCACGAAGGCAGTGAAGACAGGCTAGCTGATTGTCCCAAGCAGGAGTTTGCCAAATGCTACTTGTGGCGTTAGGAGTTAGACTGAAGACAACTTCTTAACATGAACTTTGTCCTTAGCAGGCTTTAGAGCACTCAGTATTACTAACTATGGATTCCTCTCGCTGTCTCAGGAAGCAGCAGGTTGGAAACAATTCTTTCCTAATCTTTTCATTTAAAAGAAAAATGAAATAAACAAAACAAGGAAAAATCAGCCTGTGCCACTACAACTTCTCAATGTCTAACTAAGGCAGAGGAAGGCCTACGGTAGCAGAGTAAAACATCTTCACTGATTCTTTTAAAAGACTGTTGATTTCAAACGAACTACAAAGCTAAAGTCAGCCAGATAGTGTGGTACTGGCAGAAGAATAAACATACAGATCATTGGAACAGAACTGAAAGTTCAGAAATAAACCCTTACATTTAGGGTCAACTGATTTTTGACAAGGGTGCCAAGTCAATTCAGTGGGAAAAAAGAACAGTCTTGTCAACAAATGGTACTGGGACAATTGAATATCCACATGCAAAAGAATGAAGTTGGAACCTACTTCACACCATACACAAAAATTACTTATAATGGGTCAAAAACTGTAGGAGCTGAAACTGTAAAACTCTAAGAAGAAAAGACAGGAGTAAACTTTCATAGCCAACTTCAGGTTGGACAAAGCCTTTTTAGACATGACACCAAAAACATAAGCAACAACAACAACAAAATAAAGTAACTGAACTTCATCAAAATAAAAAATTATTGTGCTTCAAAGGATACCATCAAGAAAGTGAAAAGAAAACCACTAAATGGGAGGAAGTATTTCCAAATCATACCTGATAGAAGATTTTTATTCAGAATACATAAAGAACTCTTATAACCAAACAATAAAAAGACAAAGCAATTGAAAAATGGACAAGGGATTTGAACAGACATTTCTTCAAAGAAGATATACAGATGATGGTCAATAAACACGTGAAAAGATGCTCAACATTGTTAGCCATCAGATATCAAAATCTCAACTGACTGGCCTCTATACCACTTCACCCACTAGGATTGCTACTATAAAAAAGACAGATAAGTTTTGGTGAGGATGTGGAAAAATTAGAACTTTCATACAATGTTGATGGGAAAGTTTGGCAGTTCATCAAAATGGTTTTTGTTTTTTTAAATATATTTTTATTGCCCTGGCCAGTTTGGCTCAGTGGTTAGAGCATCGGCCCAAGGACCAGAGAGTCATGGGTTCGGTTCCCGCTAATGGCACGTACCTCTGTTACGGTTCATCCTCGGCCCCGGCTGGGGTTGTGCGGGTGGCAGCCAGTCGATGTTTCTCTCTCTCTCTCTTCCTCCCTCTCTCTCTCCTGCTCTATCTGAAGATAAATGCAAAAATGTCCTCAGGTGAGGATTTTATATATATATATATGTGTATGTGTATATATATATTTTTTTAAAAAATGATTTTTGAAAGAGAGGAAGGGAGATGGAGAAAGAAACATTGATCAGTTGCCTCCCACACACATCCCAACTGGGAATCAAGCCAGTGACCTTTTGGTGCACGGGACAAGGCTCAACCAACTGAGCCACACTGGCCAGGGTTCATCAAAATAGTTTAAAAACAGATTTTTTTAAATTGTTCAATTACAGTTGACATTCAATATTATATTAGTTTCACATGTACAGCATAGTGGTCACATATTTATATAACTTATGTTGCTTCCGTATCTTGGCTATTATTAAAATGCTGCAATGAACATAGGGGTGCATATATCTTTTGAATTACTGTTTTGGATTTCTTTGGATAAATACACGTAGGATTGCTGGGTGATACGGTAGTTCTATTTTTAATTTTTTTAAGAACCTCCAAACTGATTTTCATAGTGGCTTCACCAATTCAAAATGGTAAACATGGAGTTACTATATCATCCAGCAATTCCAGTCCTAGGTATATTCCCAAGAGAACTAAAAACATGATTCCACACAAAAATGTGTTCATAAATGTACATAGGAATATTATTGATAATAGCCAAAGGGTATAAATAACCCAGATGCCCATCAACTGATGAATGGATAAACATAATGTGATATATTCATATAGTGAATTATTATTTGACCATAAAAAGAAAAGAATTACTGATATGCTACAACATTGATGAATCTTAAAAACGTTATGCTCTAAAAAAAGCCAGTCACTGAAGACCACATCTTTTACAGTTGTATTCAGGAATTTGCGTGCCATCTTGGACAGGGGCCACGCTAATCTTCTCTGTATAAGTCTATTTATAAAAAATGTCTAACCAGGTAAACTTACAGAGACAGAAAGTAGATTACTGATTACCTAGGGCCTGGAGCAGGTGGAGATGGATAACTAGGAGGAAAATGCTAATAGGTATTCTTATTTTGGGGATGATGGAATATTCTAAAATTGACTGTACAACTCTATATACCAGGTAATGTAAATACTAAAAACTATTCACTTTAAGAGGGTGAACTGTATAGTGTGCAAATTATATTTCAATATAGCTGTTTTTATTTATTTTTAATTAATTCATTTATTTTTTAATCCTCACCAAAGGATATTTTTCCATTTATCTTCAGATAAAGTGGGAGGGAGGGAGAGGGGGACAGAGGGAGAGAGGGAGAGAGGGGGACAGAGGGAGGGAGGGGGAGAGAGGGAGGGAGAGAGAGAGAGAGAGAGAGAGAGAGAGAGGGAGAGAAACATCGGTGTGAGAGAGACACATTGATTGGTTGCCTCCCGCATGACCCTGTCCAGGGCTGGGGACCAAATCGCAACTGAGATACATGCCCTTGACTGGAATTGAACCTGCAACTCTGGTCTGTAGGCTTATGCTCTAACCACTGAGCCACTGGTCAGGGAATAACATTTGTTTTTTGAAAATAGGACTACTGGAAAGGAATTCATGTATTCTTTAAGAGGAGTTGGTTTTGACCTTCAGAGCAAGGGTTTGGATGGAAATGATTTAAATTAAAAAGATACCTAGTATTTTACAAGGGCAAGCAGAAGAAAGAAGAAAAGGGAGAGCAAATTAGATAGCAAAATCTCTGAACTGAGAGAAAGACATAACACATTCTTAGTCTTGTAGAAATGGTTCTTTATAAAGAACTAAGGCACACACAGGTTTATAACACTTTGCATGAACAAGAAGAAAAGGTAAAGATAATCTGCCAGCATTTGAATTCTACCTTTTACATATTAAAGCTTTATATTAACACATGTTCTTGATATAGACCCATTTCTGGGAAGCTGGCCTGAGGGCGAAAACCATTTTTAGCCATTAGACTTACCACTCGGCTGAAGTATTCATCTAAAACTTCCACAAAGTTATGGATGAATTCATAAATTGCCATCTCATTCTGAAATAAAAAAGGAAGGATGCAATTAGTTTTAGTACGGCCCATGTGCCAGACAGGGAGCTGCCCAGTCAGCAACCAGGTTTTAGAGCACGTGGCTAGTACACAGATAATGTGAGCAAGGTAGCTTCCCACGGACAAATATACCCAGCACAATTTTATGACTCAGTTGTTTCAAAGAAGTTTATTAAGCCCTGTCCAGTTTTCTCGGTGGTTAGAGCGTAGGTCCGCGGACCATAGAGTTGCAGGGTCGATTACAGTCAGGGACACATACTTCAGTTGCAGTTCGATCCCTAGCCTTGGTCAGGGTCACGCAAGAAGCAACCAATCGATGTGTCTCCCTCACATTGATGTTTTCTCTCTCTCTCTCCCTCCCTTCTTCCCTCCCACTCTATCTGAAAATCAATGGAAAAATATCCTTGAGTGAGGGTTAAAATACAAAAAGTTTATTAAGAAGAGAGATGTAGAAAACCTTAACCTCGAAGATTTGTTTAAATTTATTTTTACTTTTTTATTGTTTTATTAATTTATTTTTGTTACAGATGTTTCTCCTTTTTTTCCCCATTGACACCCCAATCCCCATTCCCCCCACCCCATACCCAGCTTTGTTGTCCATGTCCATCGGTTATGCATACATGCATAAGTTCTGTGGTTTATCCCCCCCACCCCGAGGATTGTCAGTCTGTACCCCACTTCCACGTCTCTGGGTCTACCCTGTTCCTCAGACTGTTATGTTCATTATATTCCGTATATAAGTGAGATCATGTGGTATTTGTCTTTTTCTGCTTGGCTTGTTTCGCTTAGGATAATACTTTCCAGGTCCCTCCATGTCGTCTCAAAGGATAAGAGATCTTACTTTCTTATAGCTGCATAGTATTCCATTGTGTATATGTACCACTGCTTTTTTTTTTTTTTTTTTTTTTTATCCTCACCTGAGGACATTTTTCCATTTTTTGTTCAGATAGAGCGGGAGGGAGAGAGAGGAAGAGAGAGAGAGAGAAACATCGATGTGAAGGGACACATCGAGTGGCTGCCACCCGCACGACCAACCAGGGCCGGGGACAAACTGCAACTGAGGTACGTGCCCTTAGTGGGAACCGAACCCGGGTCTCTCAGTACCGCAGGCCGACACTCTAACCGCTGCGCCAAACCGGCCAGGGCTGTACCACTGCTTTTTTGTCCATTCGTCTACTGATAGAGATCTGTTTCCAGATCTTAGCTATTGTAAATAGTGCTGCTATGACCATAGGGGTACATATATTCTTTCTGATTGGTGTTTCAGGCTTCTTAGGGTATATTCCTAGAAGTGGGATCACTGAGTCAAATGGAAGTTCAATTTTTAATTTTTTGAGGTAACTCCGTATTGTTTTCCATAGTGGCTGCACCAGTCTGCATTCCCACAAGCAGTGTACTAGAGTCCCCTTTTCTCCACACCCTCGCCAACACTTGTTGTTTGACCTCGAAGATTTTTTTTAATGTCCATGATGAATCCAGCTGGACTGAAACTGGACTGGGTCTAGAGTTTAGAACCCTGAGCTCTACTCCCCAACTTCACCAACTGGTAGAAGCAATTTTTCAGGTTCTTCATGCCATTACTGTCCCATTTGTGAAGATGGGGAAACCACCTCAAAGTTTGGTCCACAGTTTAAAAAACCGAGAGTTCCAAGTATTTTATATCTTAAATACCCTTTCAGAGTATCCATGGACACAGGTGCTATTGAACTGAGCCTGACATTTCTGAAAATGTGAACTTAAATCTGAGGAGATGTAATTACAACACAATTATGTTCACAGTTTGCTCTGGCCTCTGATATGTCAGTCAATGGTTAATGCCACAAGTGACTGGCCACTACACTTGTCTAAACCACTCCACTGTGCCACATGGAACAAGGGCAGGACACCAGTACTGCTCAGGGTAGAAGAAAGCATTCTGTGGTTTTGTGGATCCTAGGTATCTTTCTTCCACCCTGGCCTGGATAAAGACCAAGATCCTTCAAAAGACTCAAGATAATACTTAGAGAGGCAAGTAGGGAAGAAAATGTCATTGCAGAGATGAACAAAAATCAGACAGTTATGGCTAATTTTCTCGCATCTTCCATAGGCTCTTCTATTATCTTACCTCAGTGTCATTAACTCCAACCACAATGAAGAGCGCTGCATACTGCCGATATATCAGCTTAAAATCCTTATATTCAATGAAAGAGCACTAGACAAAACACAATTAGATTTAATTCCTATGGCTGAAAGGGATTTCTTCAAAATGGCATGCATAATTTTTAGGTTTTGATTTGAGTATCTATTAACACATTCTTACGAACACACATTAAAATGTTACATATCTTTGTCGGTCACCCCTCCTTCCAATAGTTAGGGGAGGACTTGGAAGCATCTCTAGTGGGAAGTGAAGAAGTGGTCTTGGAACAGTCTGAGTGTTCACATGGGTTCCCACCTGTGCTCCTTCTTATTCCTTTGCTTGGCTCTGTATGGAACTCAGCAAGCAAAGATACTGAATAATCGGCATTTTAAACTGTCTCCAATGTAACCCAACACAATAAAGAAGATTTTCTTCTTTCCACTCCCCCTAGGTGTTTTTGGATGTAATTAGAGATTCAATTTTGTACTATTTAACAGTCACCGAAGAGCCAAATATATATAGCATACATGTGTGCAAAAAAATCTCAAAAATCTCAATTTCTTTTTCCTAGACTCATAGAAACAATGTAGACTCTTTTACAAATTATTTAAAGATGCTAGACAAAATCTCTCATTATAAACATTGCTTTGTATGTATTAATCACTAGCTTACCATCAGTGACCTGTGGATAAAGCAACTCCCTTTCCATTCAACTCTCTCCTGTAGTCATTGTACAAAGAGTAATGGGAAGGTGCTGGGTAGACAGGAACTGGGGAGCCAACTGAAGGCACAGTGCTGCCCTTCCTTTGGACTTTTGGGTGTGCTTGACCAAATTAAAGAAAAGAAGGAATCGCCAGAATAAGACCTAAACAAGATGGACGTAAGCAAATTATCAGACATAGAGTTCAGAGTAATGGTTATAAAGATGCTCAAGGAACTTGGTGGGAACTACATCAGCATAAAAAAAATCATAGAAATTATAAATAAGAACCAGGCAGAAATGAAGAATACTATATCTGACATCAAGAATACGCTGGAAGGAATTAAAAGCAGGCTTGATGAAGCAGAGGACTGAATAAATGAATTAGAAGACAAGGTAGAAAAAAAATCACATCAGCAAAAAGAAAAAATACTTAAAAAGCATACAGACAGTTTTAGGGAACTTTGGGACAATATGAAATGGAACAACATCTACATATAGCGGACCAGAAAGAGAAGAAAGTGAGCAAGGGATAGAGAACTTGTTTGAAGAAATAATGACAGAAAATTTCTCTAAGCTAGTGAAGGAAAAAGCCACACAAGTTCAGGAAACAGAGGATACCAATAAAGATTAATCCAAAGAGACCCACCCAAAGACACATCATAATGAAAATAGCAAATGTTAAAGAGAGAATCTTATGGGCAGCAAGAGAGGGACAGTCAGTGACCCACAAGAGAGTTCCTATAAGGCTGTCAGCTGATTTCTTGGCAGAAACACTACAGGCCAGAAGGGGATGGCATGGAGAATTTAAGGTAATGAAAAGCAAGGATCTAAAACCAAGACTACTCTATCCAAAAAGGCTATCATTCAAAATTGAAGGTGAAATAAACAGTTTTCCAGATAAAAAAAAAAAAAGGTTAAAGAAGTTTATTGCCACCAAACCAGCAATGCAAGAAATGTCAAAGGGACTGCTATAAGGAGAATACAGAGAGAGAGGAATATAGCCATAAAAAATAAAAATGGCAGTTAATAGGGACCTATCAATAACCATAAATGTAAATGGTTTAAATGCTCCAATCAAGACACAGGGTAGCTGAATGGATAAGAAAACATGACCCATATATATGCTATCTACAAGAAACCAATCTCAGAACAAAAGACTTACACAGGATGAAAGTGAAGGGATAAAAAATTTTGTTCCATGCAAATGGAAACAAACAAAAAAAAGCAGGGGTAGCAATACTTACATCTGACAAAACAGACTTTAAAGCAAAGGCCATAACAAGAGACAAAGAAGGCCACTACATAATACTAAAAGGATCAATTCAACAAGGGAATATAACCCTGGTAAACATATATACACTCAATATAGGAGCACTTAAATATATTTTAAAAACTCTAAGGACTTTAAGGGCAACATCAATAGCAGTACAGTTATAGGAGGGGACTTGAACACCGCACTGACATCACTGGATAGATCTTCCACATAAAAAAATCAACAAGGAAACAGTGACCTTAAACGACACACTAGATCAGATGGAGAGTATTATGCTAAGTGAAATAAGCCAGTCAGAGAAAGACAAGTATCACATAATCTCACTTATCTGTGGAATGTAATGAACAAAATAAACCAACAAACAAAATAGGCCCAGAGGCATGGTAGCATGGCACAGATTGAGGATCTCAGAGGGAAGAGGGGAGGAAGGGCAGGCAGACATAAACCAAAGAATTTATATGCATAATCCACGGACACAGACAATAGTGTGGAGAAGGCCTGGGGTGGAGTGCGGTGAGGTGGGAACCGGGTAGAGGGGAGCAATGGGGGGAAAATGGAGGACACCTGTAATACCCTCAACAACAAAGATAAAAATAAATTTAAAAAATTAGGATAAAGGTATTAAGTACAGGACCATTCTGCAGCTTCTGGCTCAGTGTAGAGCCACAGTGTGATTTCTACGCAGTTGTATCTTTCAAGGAAACACAACCTATTTGAACAAACTGAGGAACACTTTCAAAGCCTGTCAGGAGTTTCTGACATTGAAAAAGAGTATCAGAGCCCCTTTGTGGATAAAATAAAGACTAAAGCTGAGATTGTGCTACTTTGGTGCCTGGTTATGCCAAAAGTCCAGTAGGTTTCTATTAACGTCTAAAATAATTTAGAATGCATCAAAAATATCTAACAGTATATTCATTTCAAAGCACGTATTTTAAAAAATAACCTATCAGCCCTGGCTGGTTTGGCTCAGCAGCTGGAGCGTCAGTCTGCAGACCAGAGTCTGGGTTCGGTTCCCGCTAGGGGCACGTACAAGAAAAAACAAAACAAAAAAACCCTATCAGTGAAAAGGGTATTTAAAATTGTGGAGTTGAAATTAGAGGAAGATTCAAGCATGAATGCTTCTGGAATGTGTCTACCTTTACTTAAAGTACGTGGCTATTAGCACAGCCCTTAAATAGTTTCTGTTTCCTTTGATAACTACACAAAGCAGTGTATGCCATGACAAGCCAAAGTAGTAATTCAAAGAAGGCTCTTGAGATGTTTCGAATGGAAAATCAATTTAGAAGACAAGGGAAACACAGTTCCAGTGTGTTAACTTCTGAAGCACTGATGTAGCTTAATGTTTTATGACTCAGCAGTGGTTCCCAATAGGCAGCTTTTCCACAGAGGCAGTGAGATGGAGAATTGGCAAAACGAATGGGGGTTTTACACAGGCTTTCTGATTTTCCTCAGTTTGTTCAGCGATTTCCAATGGATTCAAAGTTTAGGACCTGGGTTAAGTAATTCTCCAGTTAAAGTTCTTTGTAAAAGTAAACTCAGTTTAAATAATGCCCATTTTTTATTATTTTAATGATTTAATTTAACCTTAACTTTGGAAGAATAAAATGAATTTGTGGTGTGTTTTTTTTTAATCCTCACCCAAGGTTATTTTTTCAAATATCTTCAGATAGAGTGGGAGGGGGACAGACAGAGAGAGAGAGAGAGAGAGAGAGAGGGAGAGAAAGAAACATCAATGTGAGAGGGACACATCGATTGGCTGTCTCCTGCACAACCCTGACCAGGGCTGGGGACAAACCGCAACCGAGGTACATGCCCTTGACCAGAATCAAACCCACGACTCTTTGGTCTGCAGGCTAGCGCTCTAACCGCTGAGCAAAACAGCCAGAGCTGTTGTTTCATTTTTAACTTCCATTTCTTCTATTTACATAATAAAATAAGAAAGATTCAAATCCAATTTATGTTACTAGTTCCAGTATTATGTTGGTGATAATAAGCAGAAAAAACTGCACTCCACATGAGAATCATATTATTATTCTCTGGTTCAAAGTGGGTCTTGAGTGTTCACCTCTATACTGGTCGCCTGACCTTCAACTTTTGGGTTCAAGAAGACTACCTGCTACAGGTCCTCCTAAGAGTTCCAAAGGCTGAATTCATATGAACAACAAAAAGAAGGAATAAATTGGAGCTGCCACGTCCACGGTGCACTGAGACAAATACGCTGACCTAAATATGGACTTAAGACTTTTTCTGGTTTCCTTTGTTTTTATTTTCCTTAAAGGGATGTAAGGAGAGCTATGCTTCAGTCTTCATTTTACTTCACTTGTTATTTTCTCTAATGGCTGTTGAATGAATGTAGTTCAAAGAAAACGATGACACAGTAATAACAGATATGCTGCTGCTGTGTTGAAGGCAGAGAGAAAAGACAGAACCAGAAACTTACCTGTTCATTGGATCGAGAGAGACAGCTCTTTATGACTTCTGTTTCCAGAAGTGTACGCTTATTAATCTCCACATGTTCATAGTACTTAGAAAGTCGGGTCTGCCCTTGTTTATTCACCATGAGGAAAAATTTTATCATTTTCTTCCTGGCCAGTATTTTTCCAAATATAGGTCAAAAGTTATGGCAAGGGTGGCTGTAACTAGAACCTGCAGGTTGAAAGAATAACAGAAAGGCAAGATCAAATTTCTTAAAATAATCACATTAAATGTATTCTATAGATGAACCAAAAGTAAATACAATGTCTTCTGATATCATTGGTCTTCACTACTATGAACTAAATGAGGTTTTAATAAATAACTACACATTAGGGTTCATTAGTTATCTTCCAAAACATTTCTGAGTATCCACATTTGTTGCATTGGCTCATCGGTCTCATTGGACGTCAACTATATGTCAAGCACCAGAAGAACATGGAGATGCAGTAACAACTTCTAGTCTTCCCACCCAGGCTAGGTAAACAAGTAACAGTGATATGAGGTGATGAGTTATAAATGGTAAGGGCAGGACAAGGAACATTACAGGAGTCGGAAATGGCTTCTCTGTGCTTTTTAAAACATTTTTTTCTTTATTCATTTTTAGAGAAAGGGGAAGGGAGAGGGAGGGAGAGAGAGAAACATCGATGAGAGAACACTGATTGGCTGCCTCCTGCATGCCTCCACTGGGGTTGGGCCCACAACCTGGGCATGTGCCCTGACTGGGAATCAAACCGGTGACCTCTTGGTGCATGGGTACGATGCTCAACCACTGAGCCACATCGGCTGGGCGGGAACGGCTTCTCAAAAAGGGGCATTTAAAAAGTGCTTGAACAATGATCTAGAGGAAGCGATTCTGAGGACGAAAAAGGGGGTATGAAAGCTCTGGGGAGTTCAGTGCTTGTAGTTCAGGGGCAGGAAGAACAGTTACAGGAAACTGAGCTGCTCACATAAAGATGGAAATGGCTTTAGAAATTGTGCTAAGGAAAATGTGCTTTATTTTATGGACAACAGAGACAAGATCTACAGTGAAGCTTTCCTTTCCTTAGTGTTGGAAGCTGTAGTCATAATAGCAGCTATAATAACAAGGCCCTATAACAGGTCCTATAAGGTTCTGTACTAAGCAATTTACATATATTACTTAAGCTTCACAATTCTGAGGCAGGTACTTCTGTTACCCCATTTTGAGGACAAGCAAATTGAAGTTTAGGGATTAAGATAGCGAGCATCCCTGCATTAATTTTGAGGTGAGGTGCAGCTTCGAGGACAAGCACATGCATGGATACCCCTAACTCACTCTCAGCATCCAGGAGTGTATACTTGTGGCTTTATTTCTACCTCAGCTGTATTGAATCTCACGTTTGTTCCTTTTACACAATATAGATTTTGAAATAATCAATTGCAAAGAAAGTACAATATCAATGGCCCGTCCTTCTTTCATCGTAAGAATCGGAGTTGCCTTACCGGCTCATCTGACAATATCACATCCCCATTTGTAGTACCTGTGACAATCAGTGCAAAAGACCCAGGTTAACCACAGCTCTTCAATAAACTTTTGGTTGCTGTGTTCATTCAGTGTTCAGAACAGGATGTTATCTAGACCAGCTCAGACAGGGATGTGACAGCTGTGCCATGGGGGAAACCTGTGGCCACTCACTCCCTTCCCCAGGAAGATTAGCTCACTACTGCAGGCGGAATTGCAACATACTCTGTGCTGTTGAATCATTTGATATTATGTGCTGCTTTTATTCTCCTTACAAATTTATTGCCAGTAAATTATGGAAAGTGACCAGAAAATTAAGATCACTATCCTGTCCGGCCGGTGTGGCTCAGTGGTTGAGTGTTGACCCATGCTCCAAGAGGTCACCAGTTCGATTCCTGGTCGGGGCACATGCCCAGGTTGTGGGCCCAATCCCCAGTGGGGGGCATGCAGGAGGCAGCCAACTGATGTTCTCTTTCATCGATGTTTCTCTCTCTCTCTCTCCCTCTCCCTTCCTCTCTCTCTCTAATATCAATAAAGGAGGGTGGGGGAAGATCACCATCCTTTCTTTTATTCCCGTTCAGCAAAGTCATTTTAAAACCATCTTTATGAAAGACAGAAATTACAATCCTATACCCTAGATACCAACTGCCAGGTAAAAGAAAAAAAATATTGTCTCAAAGGAACTCATGGCTAAACCTTTGCCTTTAAATGCACTGGATGCATTAAGTGGTAAAATAAGATGTAAAATAATCCCATTGAGATGTCACACCCAGGGATCACATTGGTTTCTGCCTTACAAGCACAGCATTCTTTCCCACTGATTTCAGGAGTGAGGATGACATACAAGGATGTGTTGAATTGATACTCATTAGAGTGCAAGTCTCAAGGCATCTAAAGACTTGAATACAACACTTTTTTGCATGCTCACAAATAATTACACAATATATAACTGTAGAATTACACAGGAGTAATAAAATGCACACACAAAATTATAAATTATTTGTTTTGTAAAATCAACAACGCCAAAATGTACAACGCTGAGACTCAGAGACAAGTACGTGTTTGAGAACTGAAGGTGCATGCTTTAAGCACCTAACCTGCTTACTAATCATCAGGGAGGAGGGAAATCAAGTAATTCTGAAACTGAGGCAGGGCAATAAGGAATAAGCTCAGACAAGTGCTGGAACTCCTCTCTTTACATTCAACAACACACAGGGCTGGGGAAGGTATTTTGATAGCCAGGAATTTAGATTCCACACCCAAGTGCCTGTGTGAATGTGTAAAGAAGAAAAAGGAAACTTCACTGGGGGAAGCATTCATTACACAACGAGTGCAAGGGGACCTCCAGTCCAAGACCAGGTTCTCTGGTAAATTCACAGCACGATATGGACACATCAGTGCCCCAGGACCCTATATGATATAAACTTGATGCCTAAGAAAACAGAGACTGGAAAGGCCAAAGTACATATAGAATTGGGCACAGTTTTCAAATTTCTGATGGCGTAGTTCTGGGAGTTAGAACTGGAAGTGTCTCTTGATCGTCATATCCAAAGATGACAAAGAGATTCAACTTGGGTGCCAACTGTGACTCACCGTACTCGCTGCTTTGGGCACTGTGTGGGGAAAGATTCTGGAGTTGTTTTCAGGTTCAGAAGGAAAGAATGCCATCAGTGATTAGTGATGTCGGTCATGGGTTAGAAAGCAGGGTGTGGCAACATATGCACCTTACCAGGCATTCCAGATGTACACTCCCTTCATTTTGCAGAGGGGAAAACTGATCATCTGAAATGCAGGGTGAAGTCCTGAATTCTGGTCTCTGACTCAAAAATGCTGTCTTTAACTTATCACATTGCCTCTTTGCCTCAGTGCATTAAGCGTCATTAAGTGTCCATGTAAGCTTAATAAACATCAATATCAGCTTGCTCTGGGAATGATTAAGTCAGTGTTCTCTTTTCTTTTGTTAATCCTCACCTGAGAATATTTTCTCAAATATTTTCAGATAGAGTGGGAGGCGGGGGTGAGGGGGAGAGAGAGAGACATCGATGTGCGATGTTTCATTGCCTCCTCATCTCTCAAAGGGGAAAAAAAAGTCGCTCCTGCTCTCCTCCCCAAACTCCTAAACACTCTGGTCCTGGAATAGGAAAGAGGCCAGGCAAAGTGGAACAAGATGCGATGGGTGACTGGGAGCACAGAATTGGGACCAAATTCTATACTCACATAGATTACAACTATGTAGAAGGGGCATCTAAATAGCTAAAGACTAGCCCTGGCTGGGCTTGCTCAGTGGTTAGAGCATCGGCCCGTGGACCAAAGAGTCCCGGGTTCGGTTCCCGCTAAGGGCACATACCTCGGTTGCAGTTTGTCCCCGGTTCCTGTTGGGGTTGTGTGGGTGGCAACCAGTTGATGTGTCTCTCTCACATCGATGTTTCTCTCTCTTTAAAAATAAATAAATAAATAGCTAAAGATTAAAAAGAGACCAAATAGAAATCATACAAAAACAAGAAGAAATAAAACAAACAAAAAAAGAAAAAGAGACCAGACAAATGAGTCTTGAAAACACTGTGCTAAGTGAAAGAAGCCAGTCACAAGGACAACATATTATATGATTCCATTTACATGGACTGTCCAGAATAGGCGCATCTACAGAGATGGGAAGTAGGTTAAACACTGCCAGGGGATTGGGTTTCAAAGGGTAAGGCCTAAGTGGTATAGGGTTCTGGTGATGGTTGCACAAATATGTGAGTATATAGAAGCCACTGAATTGTAGACTTTGAAAAGGTGATCTATATAATATGTGAATTATATCTTTTTTTTTATCCTCACCCACAGACATTTTTACATTTATCTTCAGATAGAGTGGGAGGAAGACAGAGAGAGAGAGAAACATGGACGTGAGAGACACATCGAGTGGCTGCCTCCCACAGGACCCCAACCGGGGTCAGGAACAGACTGCAACCGAGGTACGTGCCCTTAGCGGGAACCGAACAAAGGACTCTGGTCCGTGGGCCAACGCTCTAACTGCTGAGCCAAACCGGCAGGGCTATGAATTATATCTTAATAAAGCTGTTAAAAAAAAAAAAAAAAAAAGATAAACAGATAGACCAGACAATCAGAAAGAGCTCCCAATGGCCAAGCTAGAATGAACAGAATGACAAATAATGTACTAGATTATAACCCCTAACAGGAAGACAAGTAACACAATAAAAAAATGAATCTGAAAATATATTTGAACAAAGAGGATACATGAATGGCTAATAAGCACGTGTAACAATGTTCATCATTAATCTTTAGGAAAATGCAAGTTAAAACCACAAGAAGATACCACCTCACACCCACTTGAATGGCTATCATCAAAAAGGCAGAAATAAGTGCTGGTCAGGATGTGGAGACACTGGAACCTCATGTGAGTGCTGCTGGGAATATACATATTACAGCTATTTTGGAAAACAATTTGGCAGTTTGTTAAAAAGTTAAACACAAATTTACCATATTATCCAGCAATTCTAAGTATACACCCGAGAACTGAAACATATGTGCACAAAAGGACTTGTACATGAATATCCCCAGAAGCATTATTCATAATAGCCCCAAAGTGGAAACAACCCAAATGCCTATCAGCTAATGAAGAGATAAACAAAATACGGTATTTCTATGTACAATGGAAAACAATTCAGCAATAAAAGGGAACAAA